ATCCCGCCTCTGATGAATGTCACCAAGTCTTGATGCCGTTGCCAGCATGTGTTGGCTGAAAAATTTACTCCCACTCCAGCCAAATGCCTTATCCACTATGGTACCAGAGCTCCTCCCAGCCCAAAAGCACAGCAGATTAAACTCTTTAGTAGAGTTGTTTATCACTCTCATCTGAATTTTTTTTTTTAATGTGAAGGATGTCAATAAACAAAAACAGCTTCTATCTATGCAACACTTTAAAGTCTCCACACACTTTCACAATGAGCAATTAGGTAAATCCTTTGTACTACTGAAGAGAGGGAGGAAGGTCACAGGGTGAGTCATAGGCAAGAGTAGAACCTTCCACTTTGCCACTCCCCTTATCAGCCTCCACCTACTCGGCCAAATCCAGGCTCTCTCACCCCATTTCCTCTCTGACTTCCCCTGCATAAAGCAACCCTTATTTCCTTTCACACTTCACTCCCATCCCTATCCCATGAATGAGCTAGGGTTCCCTGTTATGATCACTGGAAGATCGGCAGTGGGAAACAGGAATGTGCAATGTCTACCCATTCATTTTCTGGACGTTGGTTACTTCTTTCATCCTTTCATCCTTTGCTTGCCTGCTTCCTTTACCTAGTGCTTACGGCTTCCCTGTCTAGTGCTGAGAGGTGGTCAAGCTTTATGTTCTGTCTTTGTTCTTTTAAAGACAGAGGCACAGAGGAGCATCACAGAAGTTGGTCGGGAGCTGGCAGAGCTGGTGGAGCAGCTTGTAGACATCACCAGGAATCTTCAGAGTCAGAGACCCCTCTCACAATCTGAGGCAGACAATGAACTGAGCATCTTGGGCACGGTATGGTCAGCTTGGAGAGGAAAGGATTGTGAGGGGGCTAAGCAAGGGATACCTCCCAACTGGGATAACATGAATATGTTTTGAGTTGAAGGATGCAATACATCTCGATCTTTTATTGTCCTCTTTACCACCAAACATGGATGATCAGAAACTTGGAGTAGCTAAAGTGAGGTTGGAAAGTTTGAGCTAGATTCTATCTCATCACTCCACCTAACCAGCTCTCTCTAAGGTCACCAATGACCTCCAAGTAAATCCTGCAGACATACCAGTTCTTACCTTCATTGACCCCTCAGTAGCCTTTGACACAATTGATCGCCTTCCTTCTGTGAAACATTCTTTCCCTTTAACTTCCAGGACACAAGTCTCCTGGTCTTCCCCTTGCCCCACCTGCCCTTTCTCAGTCTATTTTGCAGGCTCACTCTCTCTGCTCCGTGATTAAATGCTAGAATTCTTTTGTAGGTTCTTTTCTCTTGCCCTGAAGTAGTCTTCCTCACACCCCTGATTTTAATCACCACCATATACACAAACACAGGAGAAAGATGAAGGAGTCTGCTTCTGTAAAGATTTGCAGCTTGGAAACCCAATGGAGGTTGCTATGAGTCAGAATTGACTTGATGGCAGTGAGTTTGGTTTGGTTTTGATATGTGCAAACACTTCTGTCCTAGACCTTTCTCTAAGCTCTAGACTTGTTTATCTTCCTTCTCATCTTTTCCTTTTGGGTATCTAGGCTCATCACATTTGACATGTCCCAGACTGCTGCTCCTCTGGGACCTCCATCTCAGTGACTGGTCCTATTATCCTTCCAAGTGCACAAGTCAGAAACCTGGGAGCCATTCTTTTTTTTTTATTATTATTATTAGGATTTGGGTGAAGATTTATAGAGTAAATTCACTTTTCATACAGCAGTTCACATATACTTTGTCTCATGTCATTGACCAAAATTTACAATGCAGCAGCTCCCCTCCCACTTCCTCCCCATAGTTACCTCCTCCCAGTGTCCATCCCTTCATACTCTTCTGCACCCTGAGCTATCTCCCTGTGCATAAGCAGCCCTTCCTTCTCCCATGATTGTTCTCTCCAGGGCGTGTGTCTACTTGAGGTAAATGTTTAACTCACATGCCGGTACTTTGTTTGGCTGGAAACCACAGTTGTGGGTTCAATTCCAGACCTGAAGGGCAACTAGGGGCCATAGTCTCAGTGGTTACACCAGGCTCCATTGGACTAGCAAACCTGGTCCCCACCTTCTTTTTTTTTTTTTGCCTCCAAATGATTTTGAGTTTTGTACCACTTTGTTCTCCCTCTTTATGTAGGATCTCCTACATCATTCACATGAACTTATAGGCCCATTGTCTGCCAACCCCATATATGATCTTGGATACACTCTCCATTTAGACATACCTAATTGTTTAGCTTGTTCACCCATCTATCCGTCCCTATACCCATGTTTGCTTTCACTGACAACTCAGTACTGTATATGCAAAGCGGTTCATATTTGTTGTCTGTACTGCCCATGTAACTCTCTATGTCTTTCTCATCCTCAATGCTGCCATATTGGTCACTCACATTTGGTACATTGCCCTTCTGGGAGCCATTCTTGTCACCTACCTCTCCCTTACCTTCATGACACAGCTGAAACATCTCTTGAATCTGTTTACTACTCTTGAGCTCCTTTGAGACTTTCTAATCCAACCCTCTGATCATTTCTTGCCTGGACTGTGAAGATAGCTTCCTAATACCCTACTCTTACCCTTCTGTTCTCATGGCCATCAAAGTGATCCTCTCAAATACAAATTCAGTCATGTTAGTTTTCTGCTAAAAACGTTCCGATGATGTCTTTTTGCTTAGGATTAAGACCAAAATCCTCACAGGACCAACAAAACCATGTAGGATTCACCCCTGTCTGCCTCTGCAGTCTTGACTCACTCCAGCTCCCTGGCTGTGCCACATCAGCCCACATTGGTCCATACAGTGTGTCTTGCTCCCTTCCACCACTGGGAGAACTTCATAGAATGCTGTTCCTTCACCCTGTCACTTGGATAACCCTTGCTCATCCTGCAGACCCCAGCTTGGTCATCACATCCTCAGGGAAGGGTTGACTGATTTCCTTGAACAAATTAAACCCCCCTCTTAGTAGCACTTATAATTCCAAGTACCATTTATCTATCGCAGTTATCACAATTGCAAGTTTATAATGATTTGTGTCATAATTTATTAACGTCTGCCTCCATTCCCTACTGGGTTCTAAGGGTAGGGACCATGAATGCTTTTGGTCTTTTGTTCAACATTGTATCCCCAGGCCCTAGCATAGTTCTGGCACATAGTAGGTGCTCAAAAAATACCCATTGAATGAATGAATAATAAATGAGTCTTCAGGGATGCAATATGTTGGAGGTGACTTTGCCATTCAGTAGTATTGTGGGCTTGGGCTAGTCATCTAATGTTTGTGGGCCTCAGGTTTCTAATTTTAAAATAGGAATAAGATACATAGCTTACCACCTCAGTGGTAAACTATATATATATATGGTTTTGCTTCTCTAGAAAACCCAGCCTAAGAATTGCCCAATCTTCCTTCCGAGGAGTGGCTGGTGGGTTTGAACTGCCAGCTTTCTAGTTAGCAGTCAAATGCCTTAGGCACTATGCCACCAGAGCTCCTGTATATACATACATATATATATATATATATGATTTTGCTTCTCTAGAAAACCCAGCCTAGGATACCTCCCTTGGAGGGTTTATGCAAATTAGATATAAGCAGTACTTAGCACATGGAAAGCACTCAGTAAGTGGTGCTAACCAAACCAAACTCACTACCATTGAGTTGATTGTGACTCATAGGGACCCCCTTTGGGTTTCTGAGGTGGTAAATCTTTATAGAGGTAGATTGCCACACCTCCCTTCTGCAGAACAGCTGGTAGGTTTGAACTGCCAACCTTCTGGTTAGCAGTCCAATGACTTAGGCAACTCACTATGAGTGCTCCTTCAGTGGTGTCTAGTACTACTATTGTGAGGCATTGGTAGTAGCATTCTCACCTTCTGTGCAGGAAACCTGGGTTTGGATTCCTGGCCAAATGCACCTCATGCGTAGTCCCTACCTGTCTGTTAGTGGCGACTTGCATATGGTTATGATAATGAACAGGTTTCAGCAGAACCAGACTAAGGTGACTGGAAGAAAGACCTGGTGGTCTACTTTGTGAAAAAAAAAATTAATTTATCATTGGTGGCAATATGCATAACCACACATACATCCGTTCACAATTTCTCCACAACGTTGGTGATCTGCCTCTGAAAATCAACCGAGGAAAACCCTGTGAATCACAATGATCTGATCTGCAGCTGATCGTAGGGATGATGCGGGAGCGGACAGTGTTTTGTTCTATTGTGCATGGGGTCAATGTGAATTGGGGGACAGGTCGCCACGAGGCAAGGGGCCAATTTGACAGCGGCTAACAATGATAACCTGTTACTATTGTTGGGGAAAATAGTGGGAAATGGAACAGGCAAAGGCAAAGTTGGGAAAGGACACTGGTGAGCAGATAAGAGGCTGTGTTGGGAAATAGAATGTGAAGTTGAAGAAAAACAAGGAGCATGTGGTAGAGGCCCTGGAAAGCAATCTGGATGCGTATGGACTTTTCAGAGGTGCCAGTATGTAATGATAATGGTTGGGGAAGATTATTCTGGCCTCTGTGGCTTATGTCAGTGACCATTTACATTTTTAATTTATTTTGTAAACCCCCTGAAAGATATGCCTGAACTTTTTAAATGTTTTTGGGTACTACCTAAGAAATGCATATTCATTGCACAAAATATTAAAAACTTATAGCAGTTTAAAGAAAGAAGAATCATCTATAACCCCACCACCTAGAAATAATTACTCATTAATATATGTATCAAATTTTAATTTTATTTTAATTTTGATATCTTATTCCAGGTTGTTTTCAATGCATATAGTTTGAGGACCTAATTGTCTTTTGGGTTTCTTTTCTTGGGGGTTGCTAATTATGTTTTTAAAAAACCTGTTGTTGTTGTTATGTGCCATCGAGTCAGACCTAACTCATAGCGACCCCTCCTTGGGTTTCCGAGGCAGTATCACTACGGAAGTAGATTATCCATTTTCCTTCCAAGGAGTGGATGGTGGGTTTGAACCGCCAACTTTCTGGTTAGCAGTCAAGTGCCTTCGGCACTATGCTACCAGAGCTCCTTAGAAAAAAACTTATTAGGAGGTAAATGGAAAATTTTAGGTAGATAGCAAAACTTGAATATAGTGTTTGATGGATTCCATATGGGACTTTCATTTATTTATTTTTTACGGTTCATCGGCAGGCTTTTTCTTGTGGGGTAGATCTTTCCTTGGCTTCTCCAAAGCTAGTGACTTCCAGCACACCTGAGGGAAAAATGAGAGATGTTCTCCATGCTCTAGAAGAAATCCAGGAAAAATTACGAGAAAACTTCATGTGGAAAGAAGCTCTTGAAGAACAAATACAGGGTGAGTGGATTTTGTCTAGGAAGGAGGATTACTTATGGAACTTGGGGGCAAATGGCAAAATGCTTCAGAGCCTTGTCCTTTGGGACAGGATCCCAGAGCCCAGCAGCATTACTACTGTGGTGCTGAAAATGAGGTAGGATTTTGCTGAGGTGTTTTTGTGGCTTGATGAGATTTTGAACACCACTGGAGATGTGATGTATCCATCACCCTTAATAGTTAGATGCTCTAGACCTGGACCCATTTTCTAAGACCTGATTTTACTGGCTTATTGCTCATCTATGTAATCTTTCTGAGGCAATTCAGAAACAAAAAACCAAAAAAAACAAACTCATTGCCATCAAGTCGATTCTGACTCATAGCGACGCCCATTGGGTTCCAAGGTGGTAAATCTTTACAGAAGTAGATTGCCCGGTCTTCCTGCCACGGAGTGGCTGGTGGGTTTGAACCACCAGCCTTCTGGTTAGCAGTCAGATGCCTTCAGCACTACACCACCAGAGCTCCTTAATTCAGAAACCGGCCGCTATTTAATTTTTATAGTAAATTTCCTTATTGACAAAGTACATTGTAAGTAAACCAGAAAAACAAATCTGTTATCATGGAGTCAGTTCTGACTTACGATGACTCCATGTATTATAGAGTAGAAGTAGGCTTTTCTTGGTTGGCCTCTTTATAGAAGCAGATCATCAGGTTTTCTTCTGCAGTGCCGCTGGATGGATTTGAACCACTAACCTTTCAGTTAGTAATTGAGTCCAAACAGCTTTTGTCACCCTGGGACCCTATGTTGTAAATGGTTCTTGATAAATTCTATTCAAATACAATTTCTGGGGCATATGTTAACATTAAATAATAACGAGGTAGAAAGGAACCTCTCTGCCTGGACTTTGTTGTTCTCTGTTGTTTCCCCAGAGTCTCAGATAGAGCCCATTAGATGTTAGATGTTAGCTCTAGTCTCGTGGCTCTGCCTCCTGCTCTAGCCACTGTCTGCTTTATATGCTTTAGAGACGTATCTCATTTGTTGTTGATGTTAAGTGCTGTCCAGTCGGACCTGACTCAGAGCAACCCCTCCTTGGGTTTCCAAGGAGGTTTCACTTCGTAAATAGATTGCTCAACCTTCCTTCCGAGGAGTGGCTGGTGGGTTTGAACTGCCAGCCTTCTGGTTAGCAGTCAAATGCCTTAGACACTACACTACCAGTAGCATTTTCATATTTAAATGATATTGCTCTGCTTAAAATACTCATTATTTAGGTGGAGAAACCTGATTCACTGGGAAAAGTTCCTTAAGGAAAATGGGTAGAGAACAGTTTACTAGGGTTCCCAAATTTAGGCTGTTTGTACTTAATCAGAGAAATAGGCAGCCTCTTGACTCCTGTGTAATGCTAATTTAGGCTGGATTCCTTAATGAGATGAATTTTTTATACAAAATAATTACATTTTAAAAAAATAAATTTTATATTTTTGATTAAAGAATTAAAACAACACAAAAAGATATAAAGTATGTCTTTCCCACTCCTACCCAATTCACCCAATTCCTCATCTTAAACACTTTTATTAGCTTCTTGATTATCCATTCAGGATTTCCTTATGCAAAAACAAGAAAATATAAATTTATATTCTTACTTCCCCCAATCTTTTTTTTTATATATATACAAATGGTAGCATACTTTTTACACTAGTCTGCATTTTGCTTTTCTTTTCTTTCTTTTTTTTTTTTTTTTAATTAGGCTTTATTTTTTGAGTGGTTTTAAGTTTGCATAAAAATTGTGGGAAAATTACAGAGTTCCCATATTTCACTTTCCCACCACTATTTTTTATTTAATGTATCTTGATACCTTTACCAATCAATCCTTAGGGAATTTTGTCTTGTAGTTGCAGAGTATTCCAGTTTTAGATATGCCCCGATTTATTTACCCAATCTTCTACAACAAGTACATGACTATTTCCAATCGTTTATAATTACGAGCAATGCAGAAGCCAATAACTGAAACCAATGACTGTGCTCGTATATCATTTCATAGGGGTGCAGATATAATTGTAGGTTAAATTGCAGTAAAGGTGCTAGTCATAGAGTAATTTATTGATAATTTTGATATACATTGCCAAATTGACCTCCATTTGGGTTATACCAATGTATAACTCTTACAGAAGTGTGTATCTTCACAAATTCTCAACACAGTTGAGTTGCAGTGTGTTTGTAATTTTTTGCCAATCTGATGGGTAAAAAAAAAAAAGAAGTATCAGTGTACTGTACTTTTAATTTGCATTCCTCCATGAATTACCTGTTTATGTCTATGCCATTGATCTTTCTTAAATTGATTTTTAGGAACTTTTTGAATACTTTTTTTTCCAATTTGTCATTTATTTTTTGATTTTGATTATAATGTCGTATAAATAAAAAACCAAACCCACTGCCATAGAGTTGATTCTGACTTATAGGGACCCCTATAAGGTTTCCAAGGCTGTCAATCATTACAGAAGTAGGTTGCCTCATGTTCCTCCTGCAGAGCACCTGGTGGGTTTGAACAGCCGACTTTCTGGTTAGCAGCCACATGCCCTACCCACTATACCACCAGTGCTCCTTATAATGTCATACACACCTTAACATTTTTTTTATGCAGTAAGTTTTATCAGTCTTTCCTTTTATGGTTTCAAGATTTAAGTTTTAGTTAGAAAGACCTTCAACTACCCCAAGTTTATGTGTGTGTGGTGTGTGGGTGTACTTTTTAATTTTATATTTAAATACTTGGTTGCATATTTTGCATTTAAACTTTGAAGTTTATCGTGGCCTGTACCCATATCATTTTAAACGATCGATTTACATAGCATCACTTCAGAGATGTATCTGTTGTGCATTTTTATATTTAAATGATATTGCTCTGTTTAACATGCTTCTTATTTAACTGGACAAACATAATCTTTTAGGAAAAGTTATCCATTTCTGTGATTATTTCAGTGTACATTTTAAGTACTTTTGTAAATTCAACTAAGAAAATGATATTTTTCTATGAATATCTTAGCAATACAGTATGGTTCTTTATCTGTGGTTAGTTTGTTTTTGATTATTTGGTGCAATCAGGAGGATTTTTGAAATGAAAGACCTTGATATATTCCTACTTCCTGAAACATCATTCCCTGAAGTTTCCACAGGATTGTTTGTAAGACAATAGATTAGTTCTTCAAGTCAGCCCTTTACCAGCTGCCAGGCAATTTGACTGCTTCATCACAATGACTTCCTTTGACCCTGTGTAAGTACACTTGTTGTTGTTGTTGTTGTTATGTGCTGTCAAGTTGGACCCGACTCATAGCGACCCCTCCTTGGGTTTCCAAGGCAGTATCACTACGGAAGTAGATTGTCCCATCTTCACTAGGAGCTTAGAAATCACACAACTAAACTGAACAGTGTTGGCCAATGTGTGGCCCACGATTCTACATCAGACTCTGTTTTTGTTGTTGTTATGTGCCATTGAGTTGGACCCGACCCCTCTTTGGGTTTCCAAGGCAGTCTGGTAGCATAGTGCCTAAGGCACTTGACTGCTAACCAGAAGGCTGGTGGTTCAAACCCACCAGCCATTCCTTGGAAGGAAGGTTGGACGATCTACTTCTGTAGTGATACCACCTTGGAAACCCTAGGAGGGGTTGCTATGAGTTGGGTCCGACTCGATGGCATATAACAACAACAACATCACTATGGAAGTAGATTGCCCAACCTTCCTTCTGAGGAGTGGCTGGTGGGTTTGAACCACCAGCCTTCTGGTTAGCAGTCAAGTACCTTAGGCACTATGCTACCAGAGACACTAATTAAAAGACAGATTCCAGGGCCCAGCCCCAGACTATTGAATCAGCATCTCTGGGTGTAAACCCCAGGAATCTGAATTTCTGACAGCTTTCCCAGGGTAATTTTATGCAACCTGAAATTCTGAGAGCCACTTTGGTATCGCTTTCCCCAGAAAGGGAGATTATTTGTAATACAAATGTAATTATTGGGAAGTAAGTATATGCAGAGCAATTGTACTTGAACAGAATAGTGTTGTAAGAGACCTGTTTCTAAAATTTTAAATTATTTAAAATGCCCAAGGGAAACTGGCTATTTTAAGAAATGAAAAAACCTGTTTCTTCTCTTCTTTTTGTAGAGAAACAAGATTCTTTAGAGTCTGTTATAAAGAAACTTATCAGTAATTAATTTTATGTAACAAACATTTCTGTGAAATCAACTGCTTAACAAAAAATATCTTTTTTTTTTCTCTCTTTTACAAAACCTATCACCCCAGTGGGTGAGCAATCCAGTTTATACCAGGGAGATTAATTTATAATTAAACTTCATTTCCTTGATATAGTATTTACCAGTGTCTTATTTAATAGCTAGTCAGCATTTACAGAATATATATCATATATAACTTTTGAAAAAAATGTTAGTACATTTTATTTTTTAGAACAATTTTACAATTTACAGAAAAATTGCACAGAAAACACAGAGTTCCCATATGTCCCCTTGTCCCTCACTGTTTCTCCTGATATCGACATCTTGTTTTAGTGTGGTACATTCTTCCAACTGATGACCCAGTGCTGGTACGTTATTTTTCACTCAGGTCGAGTTTATGTTAGGATTCACCTTTTTGTGCTATAATTTTTTTTCAGAGTATTTTAAAAATAAAAACCATTGAACTGTAGATTAATTTCCTAATAAATAGGGGAGCAATTGTATTAGTTTTAAAAATGGAAAGTTTACCAGGTCTTTAAAATAGTTTTTTAAAACTATGATTTAAAATATATAGTAATCCAATCAGCTAAAATAAGGAACAGTGGCATCTGCCTGCATTTTGAGGAGTTTCTGTTAAGCGATTCTCCTGCTGTTTTCTGCAGCAAAACACCTGGTCTTTCGTCTCTTTTCTGTCTGACTTATATTACATTTTATGCTGCTCTTACTTCCAGATACAAATAAGGGGAAGATTTCACCTTCAAAGCCCTCATTTAGGAGCTGTCCTCACTTTCTCTTCTTCCACGTAGTATGGTCATTGCAATCCAGCACACACAATTGCTTTAAACTTGACAAGTAAATGTTGGTACACTGAGTGGGAATTAGGAGGAGCTAGCGGTTGAGGTGAATCTCACGTCAACTCACATTTCCCGTTTATATAAGGATAATTTAAAGCAGTGGCCTGGGGATCATGGATAGACTGAGTGTTAGGGTGCTGCAATATCCTGGAATGGTTTTCATTAATTTATTTGATAAATATGCATCAATCACCTCCTATGTACTTGACTGGACTAGACACTGGACTTGAACATAGAGGTGAACAAGGTCCTTGCCAGCAAGGAGCTTAGAGCTTAGGAAACAAGCAGTGAAAAAGCCGATTGAGAACGTGCGTCTGGACGTACATGGGCTTGATGTTCTGCTGGATCACGTCCTGACATTGAAAAACGTGCTAATGATGAGGAAGACAAGCCATGTGCCCTGATCACAGTGTTTGAATACCTCCTGTTGGCCGTTTTCTGATGGAGCTTTTGATTCCTTAGTGGAACTCCTGGAAACTCCATCTACCTCCTCATGCCCACTGCCTGATCAGAATCACCTTGCACCCAGGAAGACCTCCCGGTTTGCTCAATGTAAGTACATGGTCTGCTTAAAATCTGGGTTTGGCCTGCTGCAGAGAGTTGCCCATTTGCATGGAGGAAAGGCTATGCCCAGGTCCCTGCTGTTAGGCCTACTCTGTGACTTACTGCCCCAGACCTGCTTCCCACAGCTCAGGCCCCTCCACATGGGAAGCTGACAATAATGGCAAGGAACCTGGGCAGCCTTTAGGCATCCCCACTGGGGTCATCGCTTACAGCCAGTTGCCCGTTCTCCAGCATGTTTGGCTGCTGCTACTCTCCCAGTGTGGAGCAGAACCTAAGAGTGTGGATCCTGGAGCCAGACTGCTTGGGTTTGAATCCCAGCTCTTATGTTCACTAGTTGCTTGATCTTAGACAAGTAACTCAATTTCTTAGAGCCTCAGTTCCCTCATCTGTACAATGAAGGTAGTCCCTTGTGGGACTGTCATGATATTTGAATGAGTGAATGTAGGTAAAGTACCTAGAGTAGTTATTGTTAGTGCTTATTGCTGTTGTTGTTGTTGTTATGTGCCATCGAGTTGGACCTGACTCATAGCGACCCCTCCTTGGGTTTCTGAGGCAGTATCACTACAGAAGTAGATTGCCCCATCTTCCTTCCCAGGAGTGGCCAGTGGGTTTGAACCGCCAGCCTCCTGGTTAGCAGTCAAGTGCCTTAGGCACTACTCTACCAGAGCTCCTGTGCTTATTGCTAGTTGCTGTTTTTAGCTGTCGTCAGGTTGGCCCCCGACTCATGGGAACGGCCATGCACAATGGGGTTAGACCTCTGTGATCCACAGGGTTGTCCTGGCTGATATTTCAGTTAGGCCTCTAGTCTGACCTGGTCCCTAAGCTCTGCTGAGATCTGTTCAGAATCCCAGGAACACCCAAGCCTCCCCTCCCAGATGGGTGGTGGCTGGCTGTACACGAAGTACAATGGCAAGAAATAGAACCCAGGTTTTGCACGTGGAAGGTGAGAAGTCTACCAGGGAACCACGGAGGCCTCTGTTCAATAGGAGGCAGTGTGAAATATGTAAAATGAGTAAGATGTGTTTCTTCACCAGGAAGCTTCAGTTTAACTGGGAAGTTATAAACAACCATGGTCTAAATCATTTTACTACAGGTAGAAGGTGGTAAGTATCATAAAAAAAGGAAAAGTAAAGCATCAGGGTGTTGAGAAAAGTGACAGATGGCTTTTCACTAAGTGAGACTCAGAGAGGGCTTCCTGGAAGAAGGCTAGTGAGTAGGTAGAAATCAAGATGCAAAAGGGGCATTGTTAACAGAACAACAGCAGGGGATAGGTGTACAAAATTGCAAGTTGATGTACTGATTTTAATAACAATCTCAGTAAATTATTATCATGCCCAGAGGTACAAAGCTGATTTTTTTCTATTTAAGAACCTCTTAGCATGGGTTCTTGTTTTTTTTCCCCAGGGGCCATCAATCCAATTTTTGACCTGAGGAGCCTCTCCTGTAGCCTGGAGGTTTCTGAGGATGGCCGGACAGTAACTGTGTCTCACGGGCGACAGTCCTATCCCTGGAGTTGTGAGAGGTTTGAGACTTGCCAGGTCTTATGTTCCCAGGCCCTCTCTTCTGAGAAACAGTACTGGGAAGTGGACACTCAGCACTGTGACCACTGGGCAGTTGGGGTGGCTTCCTGGAGGATGAACCGCAACCAGATTCTAGGACGGACCGAGGACTCCTGGTGTGTGGAGTGGAAGGGGACTGGTCAGCTTTCTGCCTGGCACCTGGTGGAAGAACCTGTCATCAGCTCAGACAGACCTAGGGTTGTGGGCATCTGGCTGGACCTTGAAGTGGGGAAGCTTGCCTTCTATGCAGTGGCTAATCAGGAGACACTTCTATATGAGTGTGAAGTCTCTGCTTCCTATCCCCTGTATCCTGCCTTCTGGCTCTATGGCTTACAACCTGGAAACTCGCTGATGATAATGCAAACAAAAGCATAAAGTCTCCTCTACTGCTAAAACAACTAGTTTCCTGGTCTCTCCCCTGCCTTCAAGGAAGGTGGCAGTATGATTCAAGAATCCTGCTTCTGAATGTGAGGGGCATGTATTAGTTATCAATTGCTGCATAACAATATTACTGTAAATTTAGCAATTCAAGACAACCCACATTTATTATCTCACAGGAATTAAATTAGGAAAAAGGGCATAATTTAGCTGAATTCTCTGCTTCAGAGTCTCACAGTCTCTGCAGTTAAGGTGTCACTTGGGGCTGTGGTCTCATTTGAGGCTTAACTGTGGAAGGAACTGCTTCCAAGTTCACATGGTTTTTCTTGGTGTTCAGTGCTATAGAGTTGTGGTTGTGTGTCAACTTGGCTGGGCTGTGGTTCTGAGTGGCAGGCACCTGGAAGTAGTTATTCTCCATGATAAGATTGTAGTCACCTCAATGGTGGAATCTGCTGCCAGCAGCTAAGTAGTTGCTTTTTGGGGTGTGGCCTGCTTCCAGTATATAAAGAGAAACTTTGAGGAAAGTGTCTAGCTTTTGGCACATTTTGATGTTGCATTTGGCTAAGTCTTCATCTCCAATTCCTGGACCTGAACCAGGGCCCTGCCATGTTGCCTACTGATCTTGGATTGTTCCTGGACTTGAACTAGTGGCCTGCAGTGTTGCCTGCTGATCTTGGTTTGTCAGCCTCAGCAGCCAGCAGCTGCCTGAGTTAGGAGACACCTCTAGCTCCAGTGGGCCTGGAATGATAGGCAGAGCTGAAGCTCAAGGTCAAGGGGCCTTCACTTGGTCCCTAGAGCTGGCACTCTGAATTTGGACTTCTAGCCTCCTAAGCTGTAAGAGAATAAGTTCTTGTTTGTGAAAGGCATTCAGTTGTGGTATAGCAGCACTGCAGAGCCAACCACACTCACCTTGTGGGTTTTAGGACTGAGGGCCTCAGTTTCTTGCTGGCTGGAGGGTGCCCTCAGTTCCTCACCACATGGGCCTTCACAACATGACTGTCTTGCTTTCTCAAAGCTAGCAAAGAAGAGAGAATCTCCTAGCAAGATGGAGATTACAGTCTTATATAGTGTGATCATATGCATGTAATCACATATGTCCTGTTGCCTTTGCGATATTCTGTTGGTTAAAAGCAAGTCACAGGCCCGGCGCATACTTAAGGGGGGTGATTACACAAGGGGTGAGTACCAGGAGGTGTGCTTATCGACGCCATATTAGAGTTTGTCTGCCTCAGGGCATCATTTCATACTTGATTCCCCCTCTTTATAAAATCATTTCTAAACCATTTATCCTTCCCTTCCCTTGCGTGCTTGTGCCTGCTAGCACAGATCCTTTTTTTGCCACACCTTTTGAAACATTCACTGTTCTCCCTGCCATGTCTGTGAATATTTTCCCATTTCACAGAATGTTTTCCTTCAATAAAACTTTTTAACTTTAGTGGAGCTTAAGTCTAGTGCTTCATGACAACAGTTCCAAGTCATGACTACTCTCTATGTGTTGGAGTAGACCTGTGCTCCGTAAGGTTTTCAATGGTGGATTGTTTTTAGAAGTAGATTACTGGCCCTTTCTTCCAATGTACCTCCGGGTGGACTTGAATCTCTCACCTTTTGGTCAGCAGCCAAGCATGTTAACCATTTGCTTTAGACTTGCCTATTAAAAATTGATTGCTAACTCTTTTAAAATAGCTTTGTTGAGATATAATTTACATATCATAAAATTCATCCACTTAAAATGTACAAATAGATGTTTTTTTTAGTATATTTACAGAGTTGTGCAACCATCATTGTAATCTAATTTTAGAACATTTTTATCACTCCAAAATTAAACCTCTTGCCTGTTAATACTTGATATGCCTTTTAAGTCTCTTAACTTATAGGTCCCTCTCCATCTCCTTCTTTTCCTTACAATTTATCTGTAGAAGATCCTGAGAATTAGCATCTATTTGTTTGTTTTTATTAAAATAATATTTTACTGTGGTTTCAGTGAAAGTTTACACAGCAAATTTGGCTCCCACTTAACAATGATTACTACACATATTGTTCAGTGACATTGGTTACATTTTTCACTGCTAAAGGGGCAAGGAAGCTGCATCTCCTGACCTTCTCTAACCCCACAAGAGGAAGACAGACTCACCATCAATAGCCCAAGGCCTATTCCTGCGAGGCCAGACATGCTGCCTCCCTCCAGCCCTTTCACCAACCATTCCTCCTGCAGCACCTACCTCCTCTCCACTGGGTTCAGTAATTCGATACAGTGGCCACACAGAACTCACAGATTATAGGGTTTAATAGGGAAGCACCAGGTTACAATTCAAATTCAGGAACAATGTTCAGTCTCTCTCAGCTCGCTGTCTATCAGCCAACAGTCTCTCACAGTCTCTCTCCCAGCAGTGCATGTCTCTTGGTGTCTCTCTCAACAATGCATGTCTCTTGCATCTCTTTTCCAGCAGCGCATATCTCTCAGGAGCACGTGTCTCTCAGGAGCGCATTTCTCTCAGGAGTGTGTTTCTCTCAGCAGCACATCCTTCTCAGCCAACAGTCAGAGAGAATTCTGACTCTAAGAGGCCTCCTTTTGAGCCTGGCAGATTGGCCAAACTAGCCAATCATAACATCAGAATTCTAAGCACCTGAGAGACTGTGAACTTCCCAGAACATTGCTTTGTGCTGCTCCCAACAGAAATACCCCAAGCAGATGATTTTAACAAGCAGGAGCTACTCAGTTTCTCACAGCAAATTCCACCATGGAGTTTACAAAGACTTATGGCTAGAAAAGCCATATCAGGTGATTTACTACACCACATTCACACTATGTCAATATTCTCATTAATTTCTTTCTGGATGTTCTGCTCCCAGTAATCTAGTTCCCCTGTCCCTTTACCTTTCGATCTTTGCTTTAGAGTATTATTGATCCTTTCATCTTATCATGGATTGAATTGTGCCCCCCCCCAAAAAAAAGCAATATATGTTAACTTGACTGGGCCATGATTATTAGTGATTTGGCATTGTATACTGATATAATTTGACAATTACGTAATGATGTAATTATCTCCCATGATGTGATCTGATGTGATCAGCAGATTAGTTGTAAGGGGGTTAAAGTGGGATATAACACCCTTACTAGGTCATTGTCCCGATCTGATGTAAGGGGAGTTTCCCTAGGATATGCCTGCATCCTTTTATCTCTTGTAAAATAAGAGGAGGGAGATGCAAGTAGAGAGGGAGGGACCTATTACCACCAAGAAAGAAGAACCAGGAGTGGAGTGCATCCTCTGAATCTGGGGTCCTTGTGCTAAGAACCTCCTAGACCCATGGGAATATTGATGCCAAGACATATTGCAGTCTCCAAGGGATGCCAGGCCCACAGATGTTGAAAGGAGACAAAGACCTTCTCCCAGAGCTGACAGAGAGAGAAAGCGTTCTCCTAGAGCTGACATCTTAAATTTGGATTTCTAGCCTCCTAAACTGTGAGAGGAGTAAGCCCCAGGGATACAGGTGAGGAGAGACAACTCAGGGATGCCCAAAGCAGCAGGCCAGAAGAGCAGGAGAAAGGGGATTAAAAGCCAGGAAGCCAGACAGAGGAACAG